TTTCATGGCTTAGCTCATATACCACCTGCTCTAAGTGGTAAACACCTTTATAGGTATATACACCTTTCCCAAACTTTAGTCCAGAAAGACCCTTTAGAATTCTGGTGAAGTCTACAGATTCCTTTTGGAATGATGTTTTTAAATAATTGAAGGAAATGCTATATTTTGGTTAGAGTTTAGTGAAAATAAAGATGGAATTTTTTTTTTATTCAAGTTCATGGACTCCCTGAAATCCATCCACAGCTCCCCCTGCCCTCAATGTTACTACTCTCTTCAAATGGTATATATGTTTATATGCATACACACATATACACACATGTATATGTATATGTGTGTGTATAAACACACACATATATGTATATATACATATACATACACACACTTAAATCTTTACAAGCTGTATCCCCTCCCACTGAAATGTAGTCTCCATGAGGACAAGGACTTTTAAATTTTGTCTTTGTACTTAGTATAGTGCCTTGCTTAATGAATTCTTGTTGGATTGGATGTTTCAAGTTAATATTAAGTGCCCAAAAACTAAACGTTTCCAGTGAAGCAGCTAGGTGGGGCAATGGATAGAGCATTAGACACAGAGTCAGGAAGACCCAGGTTCAAATCTAGCCTCAGACACTTATTATCCATATAACCCTGGGCAAATCACTTGACCGCTGCCTACCTCAGTTTCCTCAATTGTAAATAATAGCACCTACTTCCTATCTCCCAAGGTTTTTATAAGGATTAAATGAGATAATATTTATAAAGTGTTTAGCACAGTACCTGGCACATAGTAGGAGTTTAATAAATGCTTGTTTCCTTCCTTCCAGAACAAAGTTTGGAAGCAGCATTTTATAGTGGTTTTTCTAAAATCTCTAAGCTGCTAAGACTCAAGTAGCAATTTTTAGCAGTTAATGATAAGTGGCAATCAGATATTACACCTGAGCTAGCACTGAACGCCTTTCCTCTCCAGTGAGCTATAAAAGAAAAACCTTCTTTTCCAACTTAAGTAGAAGCTATGTCTCAGGGATGAGCAGTGAAGTATAGAGGTTCCATTTTTACTTCACTGTGTTATATATGTTGAATCTGAATGTAGTCTTTGATAGCTTGAAGGAGATGGGAAATGAGAGCTGTCCCTGGGGGAAAATGGTGTTTATAGGTGTGAAGGAAATGTCAAAGACTCATCAATGGAAAAGAATGATTTAAGAGTTTATCTTTACATAGGGCTACCCATCCATTAGCTCATCTAACCCCTATATCAACCATTCGAGGTATGTAGGGCAGGTATGATTATCCTCATTTTACAGATGATTAAACTGAAGCTCAGAGAGGTTAAATTACTGGACCAAGGTCACACAGGTAATAAAGGGGAAAGCCAGGATTTAATTCCAAGTTTTCTGCCAAGTCTAGTGCTCTTTCCACTATATAATACTGTCTTTCAAACATCTGTACCAAATTCTCAAATTAAAATTGTTTACTAGTCTACTGTAAGGGTTATTCATTTAAGTAAGATACGTTGCTTTTACTGGAGTTAGTAAAGGGTCAATAGTTTTGATTAAACGAAAATTTGTCCAGTTAAGATGTTCTATTTACCCCAGGAAACCATCCCTTACTTCTTGAAATTTCCCTTCTCTACTATTAGTTATGAAAGGTAATACAAGAGGATTCATTTGTATAATCTCTGGGAAGGGCTGATGGCATATGGCAGCTGGAAAACTTCTCAGGAACCTGCTTGTAACCATTTCTGCCTGTTGAGCAGATGAGAATGCTGATGTCATTTACCTTACCACTGTTGTCCCCTACACAAGCATCAGAAAAAGCAGGAGCTATAGATTGTTGAGTGGCCAGGCCACAGTACCATGCATTCTTTGGGGAAGGAAGCAGTGGAATGTGGATGACCCAAGCCAGGTGTTTTTAACCTGGCCATAATGAAATTGGATGGGAAAAATATGTTGATCACTCTATTTCAATAAAATTGCTTATGTATTTTAGTACATGCATTTAAAAACATTATTTTGAGAAGTACACAGGTTTCACTAGACTGCCATGAAAGAAAACAAGAACTCCTAATCTAGATAGTTAATAGCAAATGTCTTATTTCTTTCATTTCAGGCTCACAGATGATTTCTTCTTAATTCCTATGACCCCTTCTCTACTCATGCCATCTTCCATGGCTTAACAAAATGACAAAATCATGTAGAGACCCTCAAGCCAAGAGAAAGCAAGCAGTTAAATAGTGCTTCCAAACTTTTTACTAGAACCCAAGTCATAGTTCGATTGGGTATTGTGGCAGATGGCCCAAGGAACCAACTCAACCTCAAAAGTACTTGAATAATGAAAATGTCCTTCACTCATCAAATAGCAAATCTATCTTTTACTCTTTAGGGGAAACAGCAACAGGAACAATCCCCTGATGGTTGTGATCTAGTTTTACTCAGAAAATGAAGAAAATGAAGGGAAAGGCTTCAGTGGGAAAAGAACAAAAAATGGGAAAAGATGGGATGTATAGCTGACCTGTGTGTTCAATACTACAAGAATATTTGGCTAGTGGGGAGATGTGACCTTAAGTCCACTTTTGCCTCTGTGTCTGTGTGTGTGTGTGTGAGACAGAGACAGAGACAGAGAGAGACAGAGACAGAGAGACAAAGCCAGACAGAGAGGGGGAAAAAAGCTGTTTTTCCTTAAATATTTTATGGCTTAGGGTTTACACAATTTAAATACCTATAAGAATGATCAGTCCACAGTTGGTGAGTTAACTTAAAAAAAGACCTTTGTGTTATTTTTTATGTTTTTCCTTCCCTACAATCATCATGTATCTTGATTTTGTCATGCTGTTTGTGGGGCTGAAGCTCAATATAATTGAAAGTGGAAAGGAGGAAAGCTATGGTCCCTTTTTTCCCCTCTTTTGAAAGTTTGCCTTCTTTTAAGAAGTCAAGGCAATAACATCCTTGTCATATCTTTGTCACTTTCCACGACTGAAAAATAACTTTGATAGCTCTGCAAAGACGTCCCTCAAAAAATTTGTTTACTTGTGTTTATACTTAAACACCGTTTGCTGAAAATTATGTGGGACCATTTGGCTTTAGATTTTTAGTTAGAATATGTCAGCACTTTTATTTGGATGGGAAAGAGTTTCTTGTTGATTTTGAGAGTGATGACTAGCAAAGCAGAAAAGATAAAATAAGAACTTTTTCACCAAATTGCATTGTTGAGACAATATCTTTAAAAACAGCAATGACTTTGAGTCTTGTAGATGGTTTTTTAAGGTTCCCTCCTCCCCTGCCCTGCTTCATGGTGACAAGCAGAACCAGGGCCTCACAATCCCCACAGAGGAATCCACCGACCATTGCCATCTTGGCAGAGATGAGCACAGTGTGTGTTCGGTTATAGAAGAGGACAAATGGAACAAGTTACACAGTTTTGAGGGGATGAGGGGTGGAAAGCAGAGAAAAGTCCTAGCTATCTTTTCTGATGATCCCCACCCAAAAACCCAGGCCAGACTCTTATTATTGTAGAATTATTTGGCCCAATGCCTGGATATGACCTCAGGATCCTAGCAAATACTCAAAAAGCTGACATGACAGGCAGGATGTTCTCAGTCTTGGTGGGGAGGAACAGACTTGGGCCGTCGGACTTCTTCCAGTTGTCATCTTACTAAGGCCAACAACAGCAGCTGCCCAAAGAGGCAAACAAACCTATCTTAATCCCCCAAAGGGCAACTAGCTGGGTTTCCATAAGCCTCATTGGTAGAAAGACATAAGCCTGAGATAGTCCTTTTGCTTCCTACCCTAACTCTAATGCTGTCCTCAAAAGATGGAAACTTTCTGGGAGTCATGATCTCAAAGTCTCATGTTTCAGTAGGCCTCTCTCCTCATGAGTTCAATGGGGAATATAAAAGCTGATGCTAAGGGCAGCTCCAGAATCCAACATTTCCCCTTCAGCTTGCCTTGCAAAGTTGGCCTACCCTACAGAAACAATATAGAATATTAATTATGTTGGGCACCCTGAAATCTGATTCCAGAATGCAGACTTGGAAAAAAGCAAACCCAAGATAAGTGGTCTCTAACTTTCCCCTCTGCAAGTTCTTTCTCAGTAAAATTCCAACTAGCGGCTCCCTAACAGCCCTTCCTCTCAAATCCCTCACCCTCCAACAAAGGGCTGATATTTAGGGCCTCTCACTGTCCATCTGGGCTACTTGGACAAATACTAGAACAGCAGAAATTATTAGCCTCCCTTTCCATCTCTTTTTCATAACCCATAATTTCCTGGAGGAAATTAAATCTTCAGGAGGAAGACCACCAACCACTTACAGGTATTTTATTAACAAATTTACATAACACATAGTATTTTCTAGAACTATGGCCCCTTGACCATCTTCCCACTCAGGAAATGGAAGGGAAAAAGAGATTCGTCCCATAGTTTTATTGCTTACCTCTTACCCCTATGTGGGAATCTGGGATTCCCAATGTCCAGTGGGTATTGCACTCAAAGTTGAGCCCAGAAGGACCCTCTTGGAAGTCTGAGGAAGTCTACTTAGTGCCAAACTGACCCCATCTCTGTCATTTCAAGCTGATGACCTCTCTCTGTTTGTCTCTCCCTCCTTCCCTATTCCCCTTTAACCCTCCAATTCTCTGCAGCAGCTGATCAGTACCAAGTAAGCACTTATGAACAACAGCTGTCACATAAACAAGGTTTCAGCTTCATGGTTACCCTCTGGAAATACTCCATAACCCAGATTCCTGAAGACCCAAAAAGGGAGAACTGACCATTCCATTCCTATCCTCACAGAATCCAGAATATAGATGGAACCATTCCAAAGCAGAACAGGCAGAAGGAGGGGGAAAGCAAAGACCTTTGAGGGAATAAGTCAGAAAAATGCCTATATGGGGAACCAAAGAGTCCTCTGGAGTCAGGGATAGATCAGGCAGGTCCCCAGCCTTCATTGCTTCCCTGGCCAGCCCACATGTATTCAAACCCACTCAATTCTACAAGGCAGGGAGGACACTTACAGGTCTTGAGGACCAGGAAGGGCATTGTCCCGGATCCCTTTGAAGGAGGGAAGACATCATCGGTGGCAACTCCTGTGTCACCCACAGTATCAGCCTGTCCCAGGCATTCTGGCCCAGGGAGTACAAGCTGCGATAGGCCTGAAGGTTTCCTCTGCAGGGCCTGTGGGAAGAAGGAAGGCTCTGACTGGGGGACTCCAGCCCCAGGATCCCCCTACTCCAGGTAGCCATCGAAAACATCCAACTCACTGTCAGTGTCATAGAGCCCAGAGCCTGGATCTGAGAGTACACCCAGATCCACCAGTGCCTGGTCCATGTCCTCAGGCAGGAAAACCAAACCCACATTAAGGACGATGTACTCCATCAGGAAGGCATAATACAGGATCAGGACGTTGACAAAGAACAACCCCACGTAGAACATATAGGGTAGTAGGGGCACATGGGAGGTAAGGGGGCCCAGTGCATCCAGATGGGCAGCAATCCCTGGAGTGGGCATGCAGAGAAAGGCAAGCTGGGGGCTGAGATGGGGCAATTCAGATGTGTGTGTGTATGTGTGTTAAAGGGAAGGAAAGTGGGGTTGGAGAAAACTTGGCTACTGTGCTAAGAGGTAGGGAGGGATTTGGGATCTGAGGGCATAAGTCCAGATGTGTTAGGACCCTGCAGTAACTTGAGGAAGGAGGTGGGGGGAGGGATTTCCAGTTATGCTGATGGGTTCCAGAGATGGGAAACCCAGGCAAGGCAAGGCCTGTGCTGTTACAGGGAAGGTATCCAGATGTGGCAGTCCCAAGACAGGAGTCCAGATGCTTCCACTCTGCGGCAGCAGTGGAAGGGAGGGTGGGAATATACGTAAGGCAATTGCAGCAGCGGCCCAGGGCAGTCCCCCGGGGCTCTCCAGAGGGGCAGTCTTGGTGTCGGAGGGGCAGCGCTCCGCTCCCGGCTGTCCAGCAGTGGGAAGTCCGGCTGAGCGCTCTCTCCCCACTTCCCGGGGGTCCCAGAGAGGACTGCGGCCGGAATCCCGCGGGCTGGGGACGCAGGGCCCGGCTGCGGGGCTCAGTGTCCAGGAGGAGGTCGAGGCTCCGGGGACATCGCCGCTTCTGCTCGTTCAAGTGTCACCGCCGCAGTTGCTACCCTGTGTGTCCTCCTCCCGGCACGTCCAGCCTGTGGTCTCCTCTGGGTCCAGTTGGGCTCGGTTTCCCCCTCAGCTCCCAGGGCCCAGCGCTCCCATGCCCGCTTCTCCCCTCCCCGCCTCCGCGGGGGCCCCAGCTCGGCCTCTAGCGCAGCCTCCGCCCCGCCCCAGCGCGCACTGGCCCGGGCCGCCCAGGGGCGGGGGGAGAGGCGGGAGTTGCTCCGTCTCCCCAGGCCCCCCCCCTCCGCCTCCCCGCCCGCCCCGGGCCGCTCCCTAACCCCAGCTGCCTAGTCCTTCACCCGGCCTGGCTTATCCAGTTTTGTCCCCAATTCGTCCGACAGATTGGGGCGCTGTCCTCAGGATTCCACTTGTGTTTGAGAGACTGTAAATTGGGAAAAACAAAATAGATAAATAAAAATAGAAAGGACTAAAAATCATTCACACTGCTTTCACGTTGCTTCACATCTGGCACCAACGTTAACCCTTATGGAAGAAGTTTTTTGACTCTTCGATGCTTAAGAATGCTCCTTCTCCACATTTCTCCCCTTTTTGAAATCCTCTTCTTCCCAGAGCAAGTCCGTCTTCCCCCATGAAGCTTTCCCCTGAACCCTTCAGTTCTCAATTTAGGAGAACAAGCACTCTCCTCAGATTTTCCTGCCACACTTGCTTCTCTCCTTTATCTCTAGCATGTTCTATCTTAAGATCCTAGGAAACCTACCTAGCTCGAGAGCTGAAAGGGTCCTCAGAGGCCATCTAAGTCTAAACCCTTCATCTTTGGGTTGTTGTTCAGTCGTTTTTTTCTGTCCTGTCTGACTCTTCAAGACCCCGGTTTGGGGTTTTCTTGGCAAAGATGCTGGAGTGATTTGCCATTTCCTTTTCCAACTCATTTTACAGATGAGGAAACTGAGGCAAACAGAGTTAAGTGACTTGCCCAGGGTCACACATAAGTGCCTGAGGCCAGATCTGAACTCAGGAAGATCAGTTTTCTTGACTCCAGGCCAAGCAGTCTATCCACTGTGCCACCCAGCTGCCCTTCCTTCATCTTCACAGATGAGGAAATAGGGATCTTCAGTGACCTGTCCAAGGTCATACAGGCAATAAGCATCAGAGGCTGTATTTGAACTCAGGTATTCTGACTCCAGAGCCACTTGTATCATACTTATTTGTGTGTAGGCATTCTATACCTGTACCTCCCCCTTAGATTATAAATCACTTTAGAGCAGGGACTGCATCTTTTTTGTGTTGTTTTCACTGTTGCACAGTACCTTATACATTACAGGAACATAATCAAGGTTGAACTGAACCAAATCCTATCTCTGCCACTTACAACTTTTGTCACCTTGGGCAATTTGCCTGAAATCTCTGAGCCTCAGTTTCCTCATCTGTAAAAAGAGGGAGCTGGGCTAGACGATCTCTAAGGTCCAGCTCTAAATTTATAATCCTATAAATGAGGTAAATGAGAAATTGCAATTAAAATTGTAGCATGGGGAATCAGAGCAGCTCCAGAGGGCAACCAGGCAGTCATGGCGGGGAGTCACAACTAGTTTATTGCACTTTTCTTTTGAGGAAGTATTGGGAAGGCAAAGCCAAGGAGCTATCAGTTGAACTCCCCGGAAGCTCTAACAGCTCGGTATTATGGGGCTTATATTATAAGATGGTTTGTGCAACAAGGAGTGAAGGGGTTTCTCATTTGAGTCTAAGGGGTATTTCCATTTTTTAGAAGATTCACCCTGTTCTGCCTTTCCCCTTTTTTTCTTTCCCCCAGAATCGGGATGGTACTCTGTAGGTAGGATAGGATGTCATTTTTGCTCTTTACCTTCTTAGAATTTGGGATAGTGAATTCTAGTGATGTCAGGAGGACAGAACTCCAATCTTTGCCCCTACCTCACTCACTATATGACTGTGAGCAAGTTACTTAGCCTCCCTTAGTACTTAAGTGAGAAGCAATTGGGGTATAAAAGAAAGAGCATTGAATTTAAGACTAAGGATATGGGTCTGTCACTTATCAGCTATGTGACTCTGGAAAGTCATTTAACCTGAGCCTTATTTTTCATCTCTGTAAATCGACAAACCTGTCCTATCTATTCACAGGGTTACTGTGAGGAAAATGTTTTGTGAACCACAAAACATGATATATTTTAAAGTGCTTATCACAATGCCTGGCACATAGTAGGTGCTTAATAAAGCTTGTTCCATTCATCCGTATAAATGCCAGTTTTCATCTGCAAAATGTGGAAGAACCATCTCTGCTTTCGATTTATTTCTTGGAGGAGAAATTTAGGTACTTTTTCTTGTGTGTTATTTGTTCTTCAGATGCAGTGATGTTCTACCTCTCACTGCCATACAGCCCAATAAAATGTTAATATGAAAAATATAGGTCCTTGTTTCAAGGGGAGTTTGGGATCAGTAAGAGCCCTTGATAATTTTCTGAAAGCAATCCAGCTTTTCAACTCTGGCCCAGCTCATTACCTATCTGTACTGTCTGTCCTAGATATATGTACTATTGGACATGCTCTAGAGGGAGTCTACTCACATGCATGTTGAAATCTGGGCAATGACATTCTTCATCTATTTGGTCTTTCTTGGGGAAAAGGGGAAGGAAATAAGCATTTATTAAGCACCTAATATTTGTCATCATCATAGTTGTTGTTTGTCCTTTGTTCTGGAAGAAGACTAATGACATCACAAGGGTGATGTTTTGACTTCCCCCTGAATTGGATTTAAGTGAGGCAGAGCTTTAGAAAGTCCTCATCCTCACTCTCCCCTTCTGAGTTATCAGTCAAGACAAAAGTCAAGAGGGAGGAGAAAGATCATGTGTTAGGCACTTTGCTAAGCAGTTTTTCAAATATTGTCTCATTGATCCTCACAACAAACCTTGGTGATAAAGACTATTGTTATCCTCACTTTAAGTTGGGGAAGCTAAGACAAACAGAGGTTAAGTGGCTTGCCCAAGGTTACACAGCAAGTAAATGTCTGATGCCAGATTTGAACTCAGGGCTTTCTTTCCCCCCCTACTTAATAGCATTTTATTTTTTTTTCCAAATACATGTAAAGATGGTTTTCAACATTCATTTCTGTAAGATTTTGAGTTCTAAATTTTTCTTCCTCCCTCCCTTCTCCCCTCCCCAACACAACAAGCAATCTGATATAGATTATACATGTACAATCATGTTAAACATATTTCCACATTAGTCATGTTGTGAAAGAAGAATCAAAACAAAAGGAAAAAATAAACCACAAGAAAGAAAAAAACAAAAAACAAAGGTGAAAATACTATGCTTTTATCTGCATTCAGATTTCATAGTTCTTTCTCTGGATGTGGATAGCATTTTCATCACGAGTCTTTTGGAATTGTCTTGGATCATTGTATTGCTGAGAATGGCTAAGTCTATCATAGTTTATCATTGCACAATTACTGTGTATGATGTTCTCCTGGTTCTACTCTGTTCACTCAGCATCAGTTCATGTAAGTATTTCCAGGTTTTTCTGAAATCCATCTGCTCATTATTTCTTATAGAACAATAGTATTCCATTACATTCACATTCCACAACCTAATTGATGGGCATCCCCTCAATTTCCAATTCTTCGCCACCACAAAAAGAGCTGCTATAAATATTTTTGCACATGTGGGTCTTTTTCCCTTTTTTATGATTTCTTTGGGATACAGACGTATAAATGGTATTGCTAGATCAAAAGGTATGCACAGTTTTATAGCCCTTTGAGCATAGTTCCAAATTGCTCTCCAGAATGGTTGGATCAGTTCACAATTTTGCCAACAATGCATTAGTGTTCCAATTTTCCCCCATCTTCTCCAACATTTTTTCTTTTCTGTCATATTTGCCAGTCTGATAGGTGTGAGGTAGTACCTCAGAGTTGTTTTAATTTATGTTTCTCTAATCAATAGTGATTTAGAGCATTTTTCATGACTATAGATAGCTTTAATTTCTTCATCTGAAAACTGCCTTTTCATATCCTTTGACCATTTATTAATTGGGGAATGACTTGTATTTTTATAAATTTGATTCAGTTTTCTATATATTTCGGAAATGAGACCTTTATCAGAAACACTGGCTGTAAAAATTGTTTCCCAGGTTTCTGCTTTCCTTCTAATCTTGGTTGCATTGGTTTTGCTTGTGCAAAACTTTTTAAATTTAATGTAATCAAAAGTATCCATTTTGCTTGTGCTTCCTAGGGTAGTCAGGTTAAACTCATGGTGAGTATGAGCAGGCTATAGCATATAACCTTGGAGTCCAACTCCTTCTTCTTCCCTTGTACAGATTGAAAAACTGGAGGCCAGGCAGTTTAAGTGAATTGCCCAAAGTTACACAGGTAGTAAGCATCAGATGTGGGATCTGAACTGAAGTCCACTGATTCCATAGTCCTTTCATGTTCCATCACACCACATTTGCTAATCAGCAAAGGCGGGACTGCAAAGGAATGATTTTTGTTTAAATGAGGCTTAAAGTCTTTGAAGTCATCCCTGCCCCTGAAATTCTGTGATTTAAGTGATTTTCCCAAAGTCAGGCAGATGGTGAGAGCCAGAGCCAGGACACAGATCTCCTCACTTCTAGGGGCAACAGTCACCATATCTGTCAATAATAACAATTCACAATGATTTGATGCTTTGAGGTTTACTAGAAGTGGTAGTAGCAAGGCAGCTAGGTGGCATAGTGGATAGAGT